TTTCTCTAAAACCTCGCCGTTGCTCACATTTTCGATTCATGGTATCCTCAGCATTCTTCTGTAGAATCGTATTTCTGTTGCTTCAAGTCTCTTCTCTCAGAAGGTCGTCCAGCATTCACTGCCATACAACAAAAAAAAAACCCAGATATTACATAAAACTTCTATACTAACGATAGTTTTTCTGTCCCTCAACACCCTGATAAACACATCTCGGGATATTTATTTTTTGCTGCACCTTGCGTAAATGTCTTGCGATTTGGGGGGGGGTGGAGGGAAATTTTATTACTGTTCTTAATAGAAATAGATTCGGACAGCCTGCATTTTGACAACCGATTGACAGTAGAAAGTCATTAAATCAAAACTTTCCAAAGTGCTAAACAATGTTCAACTATATTACGTACACAATTCTGCAAGCGGTGTTTTCACCAAAAAAAAATATCAGTACGGAATGACATCAGAATTACCATAAATGACTTTGTGCAAGTCGACCTGTAAAACTCTGAATTGTTAATTGGCTATATCGATAAGCTCAAAATAATTCAATACCCCTTTTACTGTAAGAGGCTGTCAACTTTCCAAAGGGGTTTTAAAGAACTGAATATCATGAATATTTTTCTTCTGGAGGTTTAAAAACAATTTTCACACCGAAATTTACACCAGTGGTATGTGCGGGTGGCGTAATTGCAATCGGCGTGGAAAATGGAATTAGCAAACAGAGTTCGAATTCATGCTAATTCACTTTTTTTCCCATCTCTTCTCTTTCATACCACTACCAAGGAGTAAAATAGTATTTCAGAATTGTTGAGACTTGACTAATGCATGGAATAATAATGCAACACAAAATGTACTTAGAACAAAATGTATTGAAACAAGAAAGTGTACACAATATTTACATATAGTCTTTTGTATATTCTTGGGAAGACCGTTCCTGGAGAATGTGTTGACTTAGTCGCAGTCGGGCAGAGTCTCTGGATTGAATCTCTTGATTCCTCCCTCTCTTCCCGGTACCAGCCATATTTATATGGTCGGTACTCCACTATGCAAATTAGGTGGATCCTACCACAACATTAATGAACTTTCTTGCCTTGGTAGGGCAACTATTGCAAAAGACGTACTTCGAATTGAGAGTCATAGAAAACGCGACGCAAAAATTAAAATGTGTTTCCCAAGAACAGGAATAACAATTTACAATTACAAAACAATGAATTGTAGGAATAGAAATTAGCTAAAATTCAACCAAAAACGATCGTCCTACGTATGACGATAAATAACATCCGCCAGCAAGGCCTCTGTACTGGAGATGAGGCGTTTTGGGTGCGTGGAACCACCTCTTAATTGTTAGTCCTGGGTATGACAAACTCCAGCCGGCAGCAAGGCCTCTGATCAGGAGGTTTTGAGGAGCTTGGATCCACCTCTTAATTGCTGTTGTTCCCAGGTCCACCCTGACCCGGGGTGGTAGCACCTGTTAGGGTCCTAGTTATAGGCAAACATTTAAGGTCAAATAGTTAAGATTAATAGGGTCAAAACACTATGAGAGTAGCATTTTCATAGTAAATGAATTACCGGCAATATATTTTTATAAGAAAAATATTACCAACAATGCACTTTAAAAAAGAAATATAGTCTTCTAAAAAATAGTACCTACAATACATTTTTGTAAAAGAAGAATTGCCAGTATCTGTCTATATTTCTGAGATGAGGTATTATGTACACTATTTAAATTATTCGGACTATTATCCTCATCTTTGTCGCCATATTTATTACAACGTTTCGGCCGTTGTACGCTCCGGCGTTCATCAGGTGGTTGGACACATGGCACAGTGAATAAAGGCATTAGTTAGATCCAGTGACAGGACCCGAAGGGTGTGAGTTCAATACCCGGTTAAGGCAGTGGAGAACTTGGAGAGGTGAATTACCAGGTGATAACTGACAGCCATTAAACATGGCACGTGGAACTAGAACAGTCTACCCCAGTGAGCGAAATAAAGGGTTCAGTTCGACATTCCAACCACCTGATGAAGGCCGGAGCGTACAACGGCCGAAACGTTGTAATAAATATGACGACAAAGATGAAGACAATAATCCGAATAATATAAATAGCGAAGAATTGCCAGCAATACATTTTTGAAGAAAACAATTACGAGCAATACATTTTTGCAAAAAATTACTAATGCTCTCCCCAAAATTAAAATTCGGCATTAAATGACCCATGAGGAGTTGATGTGCCGTTAAATAAATAAAACAAACAAATCAAAAAAAAAGATTATATGTATATTAAAATAATTTTCTCGAATCGGCATTTGCTAGTATGTTTTAGTCTTTATTTTTTTTTTTTTTAGTCGGATTTCTTTCAATTTCGACTCCAATAAATCAACAATTAATACATTGATGTCATTCGATTCAAAATCAAGAAAGCAAAATAGCCTGTCGACACAACAGGAATCATTTCTAGTCGAATATCTCGGATGAAGATTATCATTGCTTACATTTATTTACTTTCGGACTAACGTTTTCATCTTTGTTGTTATTGTCAGTGTTTCGGCCTTCTTCACGTGTCTCTTCGATCCGATCAACGTTCATAGAATATCGAACTTAAATATGAATAATTGATTGATCAATTAAAATAATCGATGAAACCTGTAGAGGCTGCTCGGTGGAAATCAGTAACGTAACCTCCTTCTAGAACGCACCATGATATAATAAAACATCTTTGATTTATTTGTCCATCCACCCCGATACCGATCACCATCGACCGTCTTATGGTTTTCGTTCATAAAAACCAATTTAATTGCTCAAACAGAAAAATATTTGTTCCCACCACTAGTATTTTTTGCTTGTAAAATCCCAACTTTAACGAATAGTCATCATTTTTCATTATTTACATGCGGACTTTTTTTTTTTTTTTTTTTTCATTTTTGTTGTTATTATCACAACGTTTCGGCCGCTGTCTCCCCCACCATCGTCAGGCACGAAAATTAGTTGGATTTGCTTCTTCTGCGAAATTTAGGACCCTAATTTGGTCTAAAGCGTCGGCTTCCTCGATGGATGACCGTCTAGTAGAAGCACCTGTTCTTTACACTGAGGTAACGAGATTGGTTACTGATTCTAGCCGCCCCCATCCCCACGGTCCCACAAGGGGAGAAATCTCTACTCTCTTTAAATAACAGGCATGTAGCAAAATTCCCACAATGTTAGCGTTCAAATCATGGGATCAGGGTTCGAATCTCACCATGGCTGATTCATCAAGGATTTGAATTTTTTATATCAACATGGGAAGACGTTTACAGTATCGTTGGGAATTGTCTGGAAACAATACCACGATTTGGGATGGAAAATTGGTAGACGAAACTGCGGTTTCTCTCTTCTTTTTAATATATATATATATATATATATATATATATATATATATATATATATGTGTGTGTGTGTGTGTGTGTGTGTGTGTGTGTGTGTGTGTGTGTGTGTGTGTGTGTGCACATACGTATAAATATATTTCTTCCTCAGGTGTAAATTAAAGTGAATATACATAATATCTAACGTCGATAGCACAACTCTTCAGGTGAGGAACATTATATATATATATATATATATATATATATATATATTGTTCCGCGCCTGAAGATTACAAGAACTGCATGAAATTCCGAGTTGTGCTATCGACGTTAGATATTATGTATATTCACTAACATGAGCTAACTAAATTGAGTGCTTAGCCTTGGAGCGGGGTAGAATGGAGATCTACGTGTTTTAGTGGACTCAGCAGTTTTCAATCTGCTTTTCTGAATCATCTTCAAGAATCTAGAGCTAGATCTAAAAGGTCAGCCAATCTAACAGTGATCTCATCCCACAATCCTCACACTTGCTCCATATGCGGCCTTCTTTTGTAAATCACTAGTGGGTCTTAAGTGCCACTTAAGATTATCGCTCAAAATTTCATAACTGAATCAATTAACTTGTCAGATCCTCATACGTCGAAACCGACGGGAGAGTCCATTATATATATATATATATATATATATATATATATATATATATATATATATATATATATTCGATATTAATGTTAACGGCTGTCCTACGTGACGCTACCCGTCTTTTAACCCGTGTAAGACTGACTATACATGATAAGTATTCTGCTGATAACAATGTGCAATTCCAGGAACAGTATTTGTTAATATTCCAAGACGCAGGCAACAAAAAGTAAAGAGTATTAAATATATCGGCCCTGTTTATTTAAAACATTCGTCTACTTGGTCCAATAGTTTGCATATTGCACAATGGATAACCCTTCCTGTCCAGATATCTGTGTTTATATACGCTTTCTATGTTTATTCGTTATATATATATATATATATATATAAATATAAGTATTAACGTATGTCTTCTCTTTGTACAGGCGCCATTTTCACTTTTAATGTATTATCTCTTCCTTGGCTTTGAATATTGGAATAAAGATGAGGACAACAGTCCGAATAATTCAAATAGTATAAAAAAAAATAACTACCTAATGAGTAAATGGCCGGCAGAACAGCGATTAGGAAGGATCGCAAAAAGATAGATCTTACTAAGAGCTACAATGGTTAGGAAGTTGTGGAGAGTTATGATCGTTCATTTTCTGGAGTGACGTGGAGTATTGAAGAAATTGGAGAATATGATTAGAAGAAACTGTAGCAAAATGCCAAAGAAGGTTGTAAATGGTGAAAATATTGCTAAGCAACAAAAGACTGTGCTGAACCATAGTCACCTACATCCTCAAGGGATATGTCACAAAGGAATAACGATGGAGTTCTTTTCCTTCTGATTTTTTATTGTTTTCTGATTTCTCAGTGTAATATTTATTCATCTATGTTACACCTATGCCATTTGTGTTACAGGCTTATCTATGTCATCTGTGTTACAGACACTGACTCGTATTTTTTTTCTCCCTTTACTCTGCCATATTGAATCCCCGACCGTCCCCTTTTGACAACCGAGTCAGCAGAGTCTTCAATGCTGATAAGATGGCTTCCTCTATCTTTTCGCTGCACCTAAAATCGATTGACGTCATCGCTGGGAAAGAGTGTTTCATGCAAAGAGATTAGTTTTTTTTTTTTAGTTTATTGTTATTTGGAATAGTATTAAGACGTAGTAGTAGTAGTAGTAGTAGTAGCAAAAATATGTTCTTAGAAGTAGGAACGTTATTCCTTACATTCTTCTTTTTCTTTTTCTTTTTCTTCTTCTCCTCCCCCTTCCTCATTCTACTTCTCCCTTTTCTTTCTTCTTTTTATTCTTTATGTTTCTAATTTCTTATCCATTTTCTCAATCTTCCTCTTCTTTCGACTTGTTTGTCTTCATTTTCTCTTCACATTATTTTTCCTTCATTTCTTTTCCTCATTTTCTTATTCTTGCTGTTCTTCTGTTTTTCCTTCTTCCTTTTCTTGCTATATTTCTTCTTTTTCTTCAGCGTCTTTTTTTCCATATCCTTGTTTTTCCTCCTCTTTTTCGCCCTTTTCTCTTACTCTTCTCTTCTTTTTTCTCTTCTTACTCCATTCTCTTTGTTACTCTTTGTCTTCTTCCTCTTTCATCTTCTTCTTCTTTTTTCTTCTTCTTTTTCTTATCTTCTTTTTCTCCTTCTTCTTTTCCTCTTTTTCTTCTTTTTCTTCTTCTTTTTCTTCTTTTTCTTCTTCTTTTTCTTCTTTTTATTCTTCTTTTTATTCTTCTTTTTCTTTTCTTCTTTTTCTTCTTTTTCTTTTCTTCTTTTTCTTCTTTTTCTTTTTCTTCTTTTTCTTTTCTTCTTTTCCTTCTTTTTATTTTCTTCTTTTTCTTTTCTTCTTTTTCTTTTCTTCTTTTTCTTTTCTTCTTTTTCTTCTTTTTCTTCTTTTTTCTTTTCTTCTTTTTCTTCTTTTTCTTCTTTTCTTCTTTTCTTCTTTTTCTTTTCTTCTTTTCTTCTTTTTCTTTTCTTCTTTTTCTTTTCTTCTTTTTCTTTTCTTCTTTTCTTCTTTTTCTTTTCTTCTTTTTCTTTTCTTCTTTTTCTTCTTTTTCTTCTTTTTCTTTTTTCTTTTCTTCTTTTTCTTTTCTTCTTTTTCTTCTTTTTCTTCTTTTTCTTTTCTTCTTTTTCTTGTTTTTCTTCTTCTTCTTTTTCTTCTTCTTTTACTTCTTTTTCTTTTCTTTTTCTTCTTTTTCCTCTTTTTCTTCTTCTTTTTCCTCTTCTTCTTTTTCCTCTTTTCCTTCTTCTTTTTTTTTTCTTCTTTTTCTTCTTCGTTTTTTTCTTCTTCTTTTCTTCTTTTTCTTTTCTTTTTTCTTCTTTTTTTTCTTTTTTTTTCTTTTTCTTCTTCTTCTTCTTTTTCTTCTTCTTTTACTTCTTATTCTTCTTGACTTCACATAAAATAGTTTTCTTTTGTCCTCACCTTATTTCTCGCTTCCTTCATATCCAACTCTTAATCCACACTTCTTCCAAACTTACTTCTCTTTGTCAACCTACTCTTTCATCTCTTTCTCACACTCACACAGACACTCACACACACACACACACACGTTTTACATTTTTCTTCTTCCCACCCAGTTTGAGACAACCTTTACTTACAATCTTTACAATCTCCCATTCTTTTCAAACCATTTCACTTCGCTCGAGAAAGACAAGTCCATTTAATGCCTATGAAATCCGAGTTTTGGTACTAGCGTCATAAAATCGAATATGGCGATAGATGCCAAATAGTCAAACATTGCTAGAACTATTTGCAAAAAATCTTATTGAAATGTAAAACTTTCCGATTATATCTACCAATAAACGAGCTTTTCTTTATATCTTTATCTATTAAAACACCGTTTTATGTGGCACCATACTATGGAAGACAATACTAAAATTGCCACATTTTTCTCAGTAGACATCAGGAAATATTGTAACAATACGGAAAAGAATTACCGTCTGCAAAGAGAGCTGCCGAGTTTGCTCTTTATCAGGTGTTCAGAAAAACCTATCAAAATGATTAATTCTACAAACCTGAAATTTATGACACGAGCCCAAAACACTTCAACGGCGACCTCCAAAGCCATTAGGCTTTTGTGACATTTTTACGAAATCAAATTGCTTTTTCAAACTTCGACTTTATTAGAATCTCACCTCTGAAATGTTCAGCTAGAAGGGGCGTAAGAGAGAGATGCGTGATCTCGCTAGATTTGTTTAACTTTTACTGCGAGGCGAACCTAAGAGAAACAGAAATCCTGCAAGTCTTTTTTTAACAACACAAGAAACGCAGATGTCACAGGTTTAATGGCAGGTGCAGTAAAAAAAAAATGAAAGGAAACTGCAGGAACGCCTAAACAAATTAGTAAAGGGGAAAAAGTGATGATGTTAGAAAACGTGATGTATGCTCGTTAGCAATAAGGAAACCCCAAGATGCGAGCAACAAATTGGAAATATCAACTCCAGCAACTTAAAACCTGGGTAGCGTTTTAACAGATGATAAAAATACGTTGAAATAGCAAGAGATACCTTCCAAAAGCAAAATAATCTATTAAGAAAGAGTGAAATTTATTCTAAATACAGTATTTATTTGTTTTTTTTTTTTTACGGCTTATCGACATTTTACCGATTATTTAAAACCAAAAACTAATTTTAAACTGTAAGAATATTTTTAGAGATAATAATCATCTACTAATACATGTCTTACTAATTAACCCATAGCTGGGGAGAAAGAGGTGGATTCACACCTTTCCCAAAGTTATTTGCACATAAGTGAATATAACGAACTCGATAAGAATTTGAACTCTGCTCTTTGAATTCTAATTCAGAGGTATTATTGATTAAACTACACGCTCATGCAAGCTTACAGCGCCCGCTATTCCCAAGCGGTCACCAATTTAGGTACTGACTAGGTTCGACGTTGCTTAACTACGGTGAACGTACGGGAACCGATCTTTCGGCGTGATATGACTTAAGTAGAAGTATATCAAAAAGAGTCAGGTACTTACTGGAGCGGTAAAGTATTAAAGTGATGAATTGTATATACGTGTTCCACTAGAGGTCTGTATTGAGCGTAAGTCTTAATAGGCGCTCAAGACAGGGACACATTTTGGGGGTCTGCTCGGTAATGATGTTTGGTTTTCGAGGTAGCCAGTTCATCCACCGCTGAGCTGTTGGTGCTCCGTCGGAGGAGAGATCAGTTGCCAGGCTCTGGTCATTTAGAATTATGACGGTACATCCATATACAGTTGTATCGTCAGTATAGATATTCACAATTGATCGGTGTATACTCTTAGACATATCATTTATGTAAAATAGAAACAGAGTTTGACGGAGAAGCGAGTATTGAAAGACGCCTGAGTTGATCACTTGTGTCTCAGAAACCTGGATGTTAACAACTATATTCAAGGACCTACTCTTTAGAAATCACTTGATAATGGAGATGAATCCATGGCTGGAGGACGTATAAAGCAACCCTCTGTACTCTGTCCTAGGTCTGACAATAAACTACATCCGCGTCCTGGGTAAGACGATAAACTACATCCAACAGGAGGGCCTCTGATCAAGAGGATTTGAGGAGCATGGAACCACCTCTTAATTGATGGTGTTCCCAGGTCTACCCTGAACTAGGGTGTTAGCACTTGTTAGGGTCCCAGCTCTGAGCAAATAGTTAACCCCGAAACTGGGGAAAAAAACTATGAAAGTGTAAAAATAAGTTTAATACCCGAAATACTTTGTAAAAAAAAATTTAAAGCAATACATTTTTTGAAAAAAATATTACCAGCGAAGGAAAATAAACAAATTAACAAACCAATCCCGCCAAAATAACCGTCCAAATAGATTAGAGCAATAAATCCAAAAATTGGGCGTAAAAATAGCTATAACTGCTATATAGCTATACAAAAACATTACTACGTTACTCAAAAATCGAAAACCAAATAGAGTGAATAAATTATACAAAATAAAAAATAAGTAAATAAAAAACAAATAACAATTAATCCAAATAAATAAATAAATGAACAAATTAAAAATAACCATTAGAACTACTTATAATAAACAAAAATAAGCAAAAACAAGTAAAAATAATTAATCCAAATAAATAAATAAATGATCAAATTAAACACTGTCCCCGCGAAAATGACAGAATAGACAACGGCAAGCAACCTAAAAATTGGATGAACAAAAAGCTTTAATTATCTCCCCAGACCAAAACCATTAAATAAGTGACCTAAGCAAATCCCACAAAATTTTTTACTATATTAATAAAACATCAAAAACGAAAAAAATAAATGTATAAAATAATAAATGAAAATGAAAAACAAGTAAAATAAATCAACAATCCAATCCCGCAAAAATAACCGCCAGAATAGATTACCCACAATGCACTATTAACCCATATATATAAATAGTCGAGAAAAAATCGAACACTCGCGGCGTGACGATTGCGTCTAGCATGAAACAGCCTGTCACCTCTGAGTGTTCACTTTTATATTTATATTTACATACGCTCTATCTCTGATTTTGAGGTCTTTATCACATAAATATAACACAGCGTAAAATTATATTTCTTCATATATATATATATATTAAAAAGAAGAAAGAAACCGCAAACGTTTTGGGTTGTAATATGGATTTTTTTTAAAATATATTACGTTCTATTTTCCATAATTTTGCTGCACGGGTTTCCGGTCTCGTGACCTTCATCGGCTAAAGAGTGGATATTTCCACATATTATTAAAAGGAATTCATTTTTCTTATCTTTTTCGACGTTAAATATTGTCGGTATTAGACATTGTCTTTGTTGCGTGTTAGTAACGCAAATGTCTTCCTTGAGCTGGAATATATATATATATATATATATATGTATGTATGTATGTATATATATTATTTTGTTCCATGCAAGGTGATAATGCCCTTAAGATGTAATGTTTTTTGGGTGTGAAAGAGAATGAGAAAACTGTAGGAGAAAGAACCGGAAATCTAATCCTGAACAGGAAACAAGGAATAAATATCTTCTTCGGTTTAGAAGACTGAGGAGGAGTATGAACTGGGTGACTGGTGCATTCTTTTCAAAAGTATTTGTAGGCTAAAAAAACATCCTAAATGAAAATCAGCCTCGGCAACAGACAGGCTTTTATAAGTGGTTACATAGCAATCACACACAACAAATAATAAAATCATACAATAAAATAAAACTGACTACTTTGTTTTGCTCTTCTTGACTATGAAAAGGTATTTGACTCAGTAGAACACTCGACAGTCTTTATCTTACAACAAGAGCAGAATAGTAATGAAAATTATATCAAAGTTATTGAGGATATGTATGGTATCACGACTGCAATAATTCGATTGCAGAATGTCTCGGATAAAATAAGAAAAACGGCTAAGTGGATTATTTGCTGAATGCCCAGAGAGTATCTTCGAGAAAATAAAGAAACAGAAATAAAAATAAAAGGAAAATATTTAGAGATATATTTTGGGTGATATCAGGATCATCGGCTGAATTACGTGAAATGTCAAATGTGTTTCAATGTTGGTTTTAAATATGAACAAAAAAAAAATAACATTCCGATCGAGAGATGTGATACGAATAGAAGAGGAAGAACTGAAAGTTGTCCAGGATATAAATCTACTTAAAATTAATTGATAGCATTTAAAAGAAAAATAACGAAATAAAACGACGTATAACGATAAGATGAAAAATAGTCAGAAAAAAAAAAAAAAAATATAATGAAAAATACTCTACCAAATGTAAAGTATATAATAAATGTAAAATGCCAGCTATAACATATGGTTGCGAAACATGATAATTAACAAAATAATTTTAAATAAAAGAGCCAGGAATCCACAAGTACCAATGGAAACGGTAATGCTAACGAAGAAATGTCTAAGAAACTAAAAGCGATCAACAAAAAATTCAATTTAATAAACACTGACTATAATGATATATATATATATATATATATATATATATATATATATATATATATATATATATATATATATATATATATATATATATATATATATATATGAGGCACGGTGAAGTAATGGATAGCGGCAGGGTGAGGAATCGGAGAGCCAAGTTCGAATTCCAGTCGAATCCATTACATTCACTTACTTGGGAAAGGTGTGAATCCTCTCCTCCAGCTATGAGTAAATGCAGGACAGACTGGGTTCTATAGCCTTGGATGGCAACTTGTCTAGGAGAAGGAAAACTCTGAATTCAAAACCTGCAGAGGAGGGTCGTTTGGGGACCTTGTCGCACTTAGTGCACCGGGTCTCTGAATTCGGCCCTTCAAAAAGTGTGGCTAGTCTTGCACGAAACCTTCACCGCTATAATCAGATCTCATGTGCTGTTGTCGAGCTGTCGGTTTCCTGAGAACTGATCTGCGTGACCCTCATACGTCGAATTCGACGGGAGAGTCGACTATATATATATATATATATATATATATATATATAGTGAGAGAGAGATACGGTGTCCTCCAAAATGTATACATGCTTTAAATCATTATAGTCAGTGTTTATTAAATCTCTCTTTCTCTCCACACACACACACACACACATATATATATATATATATATATATATATATATATATATATATATATATATATAGAGAGAGAGAGAGAGAGAGAGAGAGATAGTTACGCTGTCTTCCAAAAATGTATACATTCTTTAAATTATAGCCAGTGTTTATTAAATATATATAGTGACAGAGAGAGAGACAGAGAAGATAGATAGATAGATAGATAGATAGATAGATAGATAGATAGATTCAAACATATATTGTTAAATATAAGTGACAACGTTCTAAGCTTCGTATAGTTGCTTTAATTTCTGGAGAAAATAAAGATGAAAACTGTCCATCATTTGGATATTTTTTATTACGCTCTTCGTCGATCTAAGCTTTCGGCTCATATGAGCCATCTTCAGAGTTGTTATATTGACATTTAAACAAAGATATTCACCATCAAAGATGATATCCAGTTATATTGACATAAAAGTTTCCTATGCGACGATAACGGTCGCGGAATAGCAGACGCAGGTCGTAAATTCGTCATGCGGATCTATGACGTCGTACCACGCGAGAGAACGAAATATTAACAACAGAACCATATGTCTAGATGCAATGTAATGTGTGTGACGAGTTTGAAATGTAATTTTGCTGAGTGTGGTTTGCTTTGTTCTAATGTAGATGGTCTCCAATATCTTTTTATTATGTTTGATTATTGTTGTGTTATCAACTAATATCTGTCTAATATTATGTCCATGCTACGTTTTTCTAAGAAATGTTGTTTAATATAACTAGGATCAGAAAGGTGACAGGTATATTTAGATATTTACAAATATAGATATATAGGGTGCCCCAAAAAAGTATACACGCTTTAAATGATTATAAAGTCAGTGTTTATTAAAATGCATTTAATTTTAAAAAGCTATCGAATCTACAGGCATTATTTTATTAATTTGTCGACATTTGTTTTCAAACTGACGTCCGTTCTGGTCTAGGCTCCTCTGACAACGCGAAGCAATGGAGTCGCAAACATCAACATGTTGCAGTTTTTTGTGTATATGTTTACTAGTGAGCTAGCCCAAATGACTTGACTCACTTTATAGCCCACCAATAGAAGGTTAACCAATCAGAAGACGTAGAATATTCAATCCATCGTGTATAAAGGCGGCCATTTTGTTTCCTCTACCCGAATGTCCAGTGCCAGCTTGTCAGGCGAAGAGAAACAGAAGGAAGAACTACTGAACTACGCTCTGCTACTTTTACCGGGATATCCACTGCTAACGTGAACTATGTTTTCCTACTGTCTTCGAAATATTCACTGCTAACCTCTGGATTCTATACTCGAAGACGACCGTCATCATGAACAACACAACAAACATTTCGTTTGGTATTTTTGTGCATTTTTGTTCAATGACTGCTCTAAATTCAGTGATTTGTTTTTTGCAAGTTTC